GGTGGGGCTTGCTGGCCCACTGCCAACAGCCCTTCCCCACAGCCAGCCCCACCCCCAATCACCCCCCACCCCAATTAGGGGTGAGGCCCACCGGCCAATTGCCCACAGCTCCTCCCCACGGTTGGCCCAGCCCTGATAGGGCCCCAAGCGGGGTGGGCTGGCTGGCCAACCTCCCGCTGTCTCCTCCTCCCGACAGGCCTGGCCCCAATCTGCCCTGATTGAGGCCGGGCTGGCTGGGCCCCACCCATGCACGAATTCATGCACTGGGCCTCTAGTATATATATATAATCCTAATATGCAAATAGACCAAACAGTGGAACAACCAAACAACTGGTCACTATGATGTGCACTGACCACCAGGGGGCGCATGTGGAACATGGTGGGCGTTGGCTGCAGAGGGATGGTGGAGCAGGTGAGCAGGGGTGCCAGAAGAAGGCGGGGTGACGGTCACTGTCATCAGGGTGATCCTCTGGTGGTTACTGAAAATTCTTTGCTCCCCTGCACTGCAGTCCTGCCCACCGCTTGCACCCACTGCTGGCGCCGGCCCAAATCACTCCATGCTGTCAGCATATGGGAGTGGTAGCAACGGGAGTGGGGCTGCCAGCGGACAGGGGACTGGGGGCCGCGGCAGGAGGGGCCAGGTGGAGGTGTGGAGGATGGGCTGAGACCTGCCTCTATGCCCACCACAGCCTCGCGGCCCACAGTTCCTTTCAAGGTGCATGAATTCATGCACTGGGCCCCTAGTTTAGATATAATTTAACAAAGTGTGTAGAGTATATGCTGAAAATTACAAAATCTTGATTTAAAAAATAAAGTAAAAGACAAATAAATGTAGCAACATGCCATGTTCATGGATTGTAATATTGAACATAGTAAATATGTCAATTCTCCTCAAATGTATCTGTAGGTGTGATTCAATTCCTATATGATTCCAGCAAGGTTTTTTGTAGGTATAGATACGCTTATACTAAAATTTAATAGAAAGGCAAAGCCATAGAATAGCTAAGATAATCTTGAAATTAAGGTTTATAATAAATTTACAGTAATCAAGACAGAAATAGACCTACATAAATATACCCAAGTGATTTTTGACAAAGGGGCAAAAGTAATTTAATGGAAGGTTAGCTTTTTCAGCAAAAGATGTTGGAGCAATTGGGCATCAATAGGCAAAAAACCCACAACAAAACACACACCACAAAACAAAGCAAAACAAAAACCTGGACCTAAACTTCACATTTTATGGAACAGTCAACTCACAGTAAGCCATAAGCTTAACTTTAAAATGTCAAACTCTACACCTTTTAGGATTAAGCGTAGGAGAAGACCCTCAGATGAAGAATTCTTTGACTTGAAACCAAAAGCACATTCAAAAAAAGAAAAATTGACAAATTAGACCTCAATAGAATGAAATAAGTTTGCTTTTCAAAATACTCTTTAAGAGAATGAAAAGACAAATTACATAGTGAGAGAGAATATTTGAATACCACATAACCAGCAAAGGAGTTGTAAACAACAAAAAATCCCAATCTAATTAAAACATTGGCAAAAACAGGAAGAGACGTGTCACCAAAGAGAGTGCATAAATGGTAAATAAACACACAAAAAGATACTCAACATCATGAGCCACTAGGAAAATGCAAATTAAAATTACAATGAGGTATCGCTATCATACATCTATCAGAATGGCTCAAGTAAAAATAGTAATAATACCAATTGCTGGCAAGGATGCAAAGAAATGGGATCAGCTGCACATTGCTGGTGAGAATGTGAAATGTTACATCCACACTGAAAAAATAAATCAGCTGCTTGTTGCAAACCAAACATACACTTAGAATTCAGCAATTGCACTTTTGGGCATTTATCCCACAGAAATAAAAACTCATGCTCACACAAGAACGTTTACTAAATAGTCATGGCAGCTTTCTCTGTCATAGCCCAAACCCAAGTGTCTTTCAATGGGTGAACTGTTCAACTGTGATACATTCACATCAAGGAATGATCATTAAGGACAAGAACCATCTATTGATACATGCATCACCTTGGATGAATCTTAAGGGATTATGCTATGTGGAAAAAAGCCAATCCTAAAACAGTTACATACTGTGCAATTCCATTTATAGAACAGTCTTTAAATAACAACATTATAGGAATGGAACTCTGAGTAGTGGCTGTGGGAGATGATTGCTGGTGGGGAGTGAGGAGTATGTGTGGCTATGAAGGAGAGATTTTTGTGGTGATTGAACACACACTCTGTACCTTTGGGTGGTGGTTACACAGATAAGCACATGTGATTAAATTGGAAAGAACTATATTCTCACACAGAAATGAGTGCATGTAAAGCTAATGAACTCTAAATAAGCTTTGTGGGTTGCACAATACCAATTTCCAGGCTGTGATATTGTGCCACAGCGATCCAAGATGTCATTACAGGAGCAAACTTGGGGTGGTCACAGAGACTTCCCTGTACATTTTTGTGCAACGTTCCATGAATCTATAATTATTTCTAAATAAAGTTAAAAAAAATTCTGGAGTAAAGCCAGATCTTTAAAAGATGCTGAGAAATAGTGACACAACAAAGAACAAAGTCAGAACAATGAACAAATAGTAGTCACATCAGCAGGGCTGACTCTGAATGGACTCCAGAGTTAAGGTGTTGGGAAATTTTTTAAATGATCTGTAGAGCAAGGCCCATGGCTGGGAGCCAATGCTTAATGTTAATTAAAACAGATAACAGCCTTGCCAGGTGGCTCAGTTGGTTAGAGCATCATCCCATACACTGGAAGTTATGGGTTCAATTCCATTCAGGGCACATACCTAGGTTGTGGGTTCAATCCCCAGTCAGGGCCCATATGAGAGACAGCCAATCAATGTTTCTCTCTCACATTGATGTTTCTCTCTCTCCCTTCCTCTCTCTCTCTAAAAAAATCAATAAAATAATATAATCAGGTGAAGATTTAAAGAAAAAAAAGCAAAATTATAACTTTCCTACCTATATTTTTTGGGGTTTTCTCTGTCAAGAAGAATGTTCTTCAAAGATGAGGAAAAGATAGATGCAGATAAATATAAATTACCAGGGACTGAAGTGGAGGGGCTGGAAGACATGGTACATACTTGCAACAAGTAGATAAGTAGGTCCTGGAGACTCAATACACAGAACAGTGATTATAGACAACAGAACTCCATTATAAAGATCAAACTTGCTGAGAGAGTAGGTCTTAATTGCTCTCAACACTAGAAGAACTGATAATCATGTGATGTGACAGACATGAGGGGTCACTATGTTACAGAGCCCCATAGAGATTACTGTCCATAATGGCACTCATCTAGAAAGTTCCATTTGTTCCAGGATCTCTGTACAAGAAGACAGGCAGTCACAAATGCACTTAGGAAAATAGTCCTTCCATCCAAACTGGAGTGCTTTTGTTTCTTGGTTAGCTGTTTAGTAAGTGGCATCCACAACCCAAGTCAGTAATCTGGGATTGCATCTCCCTCACTTGCCGGTCCTGTCATTACAGTCCCTCTGATTTCACTTCTAATATTTCCCAGACCACTCTCCCTTTCCTTCTTCACAACTGCCTCATCTGTCGCTGCCACACTCCTCTGTCCTCAGCATTACTCTTACCAGCTTGTCTGTCTACGATGGTGAGTAATCTTAAATGCACACCAATACCTCTCAGCCCAGCTTCTACCCTTTCAAATTGGCCCTAGTCTCAGTCCCCACTGAGCTTTCCCCACTTAATTTTGGTCCAACAACATTGAGCTGTTTTCATGTTTCTGAATACTCCTCGCAAATATATCTTGCACATATGGTTTCCTCCCCACCCCAGCCACCACACCATTTCCTAACTAATCCCCTTTGTCCATTAATCTCAGCTCTGACCTCCAGGGCCCACACCAGGCTCCTCTGTAATGTCCTGTGCAAGTATCAGTTCTAGCCGGGGGTGAACTATATAGAAGTAGTTTACGGAGGGCTCTCCCTGCCAGTCTCCTGCCACCACCGACAGGACTGTGGGCTCCCTAAGGCCAGACACTGCGTTTATTGGTATCTGTTTCCTCAGTCCTGGGTGCAATGCCCAGCAGGTAGCAGGTGCTGAATGTTTGACCGGCTGACTTTGTTTGAACACCTCAGTATCTTAGAGGTCATATAACCAGAATGCTGCATTCCCCAAAGTTCTGAACAGCCAGCAGTTATTAAAGTCATTCAGAAGCATGGTTCCTGCACTGCTGCACCTCAGACCCTTCATCTTTGTCCCCCTGAAAATCCACCCAGCAAGCTGCACATACAGATGCGGGCTGAGAGGGACCCCGAGGCCAGCGGACAGAGCTGCAGTCGTTCCAGAGAAGATTGGGCGTGGGAAAGCTGATCGACTTGGAAGATGATTTGCAGAGGAAAGTCTAGAATGGCAGACCAGAGCTCCCCTGTGGCAAGCACTCACCTGTGACTTTAAATGCTACAAATTCTAGAAGATTTAAACGATGCAACACCCACATAACACCGAGCAATATAAATAAATAAAGACAACAGAGTTGACTGAATTTTTAAAATCTGAGTTTAACCTAAACAAACTAAATATGAAGCTAGAGAAAGCACTCCCCAGTCAACACAACAGCTAGAACAGCAGTCACCTTAAAGCGTTTCAAAGGAATGCATGAAATAAATATGAGGCACTTGGCTTCCATTCTGTGGAAGCTTCTCATTCCTCTTGCATTGCCATTTCATCACACAACCTGTGTGTCAGACTAAGACACTAATAAAAAGAAGGGGTGCATAATGAGCATTAGCATTAATCTTATAGAAATGCAATTGAAAGAAATTGTGAAGCTTGGAAAACCCTACTATAGCTAAAAGTATAGCATCCTTCATTAGCGTTACACAAATTCTCGATTGAAGCATTACGGAAATGTATTAGTGGGAGTCTGTGATGCTACCCCACACTTTCTATGGCATCTCCAGTCTTCGTCACCAACAGAAAGCCTACCTCGCCAGGCAAGGTCGTCACTGGGGAGTAGTACTTTACCATTGATTTCGAAGGACTCCATCGTAGAGAACATGGTTTGGTCCAGAGCAGCTGCTTCTCCCGTGCTAGCTGGGCACTCTTCCTCCTTGAGAATTTCCTTTTGTTCCATCGCTAAGCTTTATAGAGGGTCAAAGTCCTGAAGCCAGCAGAAACGCGTCCCTCCTGGGGAACCACTCGGGGAAGATTGTTCCCATTTGCCTGGTTGTAGATCACACAGCACTTCCCTTTGGCTCTGACTTCTGAATTTGCAAAATGTTTCCTGCCGTGATCAGGACCGGGCATTTCCCAGAAACAGGCCATTCGCGTGTGCAGCTCCTGCTTCGTGTAGCTGCTTGTCAAGGGGAGGGAGGGCGGGGTCCAGGCAGCTTTCGGCACAAGTCCTTGCTCCCAGGCTCCTGAGAGTGGATCGCTGATGACCCCGGAAGGCTGTTCTCTACCTCCGTTTTTCTACCTGAGCCCAGACCCAGCCCACACTGAACTCTCCCTCCCCTGTCTCCTGCTACTCTTGGAGTTCATCCTTGCTACTCAGAGTGTGGACCACAGACTGGCAGCATTGGCTGCGCCTGGAAACTTGTTAGAAATGAAGTCTCAGGCCCGATGTAGAAGTGCGCTTTAAGAGATCCCCAGCTGATGTATGTCCACATTAGCATTGCAGAGCACTGCTCTATGCCACACCGTTCAGCATGCAGCTACATTTCCCCTTACAGTGTTCTCATGTCCCACGTGTGCACATATGTGTTTGCTCTGGCCCCAGTAAGAGCTGAGATGCTTGAGGGGAGGTTGTGTGGGGCAGTGATTAAGGCACAGACCCTAAGAGCTGAAACGCTTGGGTTCAAATTTCATCTCCTCCACATAGCAGCCATGTGACTGTGGGCAAGCCACATTAGCTTTAGGTGCCTGACGTTACTCATTTGTAAAGTAGGAAAGATTGCAATAATTATTATGCACGTTAAATGAATGAAATCAGGCCTGGTGGCTAAGAGGTGCCTGGTGGGCAATGAGCACTGAGGTGCTGCTGCCCGTTAGCGCCGGAGACACTGACCGTGCAGGGTGCCAGGGAGATGAAGGGAACAGCCTCTGCCCTAAGGTGCACTCTAGTCTGCAGGATGGAGGTGGGTACAACTGAATTCCAGAAGATTTCTGTTAAGTGTGGTGACAATGGAAGCGCTGGAGGGGACGGACGTGGCCCAAGGAGGCGGCAGGGGTGGGAATACCACGATGAGCTTCCAATCAGATCCGGGTTTAGCGGATGACCACAGGTTTACCCGGAGAGCAAGGTAAGACAGGGCCCCCCGGCAGGAGGAATGGCAAGCGCGCCTCACATGGGTGGGCCATCTGGGATGGAAGGTGAGGAGGGGAGTTGGCAGGAGATGAGCCTGGCCGGCTCACTCACTTTCTTTGCCCTGAGGCCTGGCCGAAAGGAAAAGGGGAAAATGTCCCACCAGGCAGAGGTCCTAGTGGTGCCCACAGTTTCAACATTCAGGAAGTCTCTGGTCTGGGCTGAGGGCTAGGAACGGAAGCCAGAACAGAAATGTTAAAAGGAGATTCCAGTAAGTGAAGCTGGGAAGGCAGCTGGTAGCTCAGGCAAAAGTTTGGGGTGAACCGCACAAGCTAATAGAGAGGCTCAGGGGGCTTCCCCTGCGGGAGGGAAATCCCCCAGCTAAGGAGCCCCTCGCTTAGGCCGCAGCGCCTCCTCTCTCTGCCTGGCCAGCTCAGCTCTGGCCAAGGGCGTCCTCCTGGGTGGCGGTGTGGAACAGGCTCATTGGAAAACCCTGTGGGCCCATTACCGGGTTCCACCAGCCTTGGAGGGAACACTCAGAGGGTGTCAAGTATAGATGTTTTGGCTCTGGCTACGGGGCCAGACAGACCTGGGATCCAAATCCAACTCTTTCTTTAACTTGCTGTGTGACCTCACTGACTTACTTAACTTCTCTGAACCTCAGCACTCGGTAATGGCTACCCGGGATTTATTAGGTGCCAGGCACTGTGCTGGACTTTACCCACATTACTCAACACTCACAACTTGGGACTTGCCTCAGATCTTGTGGCTACAATGTGTCCACACCAGAATTCAAACCCAGAAGCCCAGTTTGATCCAGGAGCTGGAAGCCAGAGGTTTGCCCAGAGGAGCTTTTTGAAAACACACATGCCAGTCTCCACCCCCAGCCGGGGGCTCTGGCTTTAACAGCCCCTGCTGGGTTCTAGGTGCAGCCAAGCTGAGGACCCTGCATGGAACAATGAAGCGGTCACATGCAGCATGCAGACCCGAGTGGGCCCTCACGACTCCATCCTGGGAGGATCCATTAGGTTGAACCATACGAAATTCCTGCTATCCATCCCTCTTGACATGTGATAAATGCCACTTCATAGGCATTTAGGCTAATACATCCAGCCTGCAGGGCCAAGACTAGAGGGAGGCAACTGAGGCACTCGCCTGGGGTGCAAAAGATTCAGTAATCAAGGTAAATAATATTTGAACACAATATTTTAAAAGTGAAAGTTAATGGAAAAAGCCCATCATGAACAAAACATGGTTGTTGTGTGTGTGTTTTTAAATATATTTTATCGATCTTAGAGAGGAAGAGGGAGGGAGAGAGAGATAGAAACATCAATGATGAGAGAGAATCATTGGTCCGCTGCCCCCTGCACGCCCCCTACTGGGAATCGAGCCCACAGCCCAGGCATGTGCCCTTGGCTGGAATCAAACCTGGGACCCTTCAGTCCGCAGGTCAATGCTCTGTCCATTGAGCCAAACCATCTGGGGCAAAACATGGTTGTTTTAAATAAAGACAAGAGTCCCATGCTGCACTTGCAGTGATGGGTGTCTCCCTCTCCCCGGTCCCAGCCCACGCACTACTCTGCACGCCAGCATCCCCACTTGCAAAGCAGGGACCAGTAGTCGCCCTGTCTGCCCAGAGCCTGGGTGTGAGGATGAAACTAGATAGAAATGTAAGCACATTTGTGAATGAAAGGCTCTCAGAACAGCATCTACTATCAAGCCGCACGTCCTAATGTGAAACTCCTGCATTGTCCAGGTTACCCTTAAACGTCCCCTAGATCTTCCATAAAGTACAAAGCACACAATCTGGAGAAATTGTGCGGTCAGACACATTTATCTTCAAGAGCACAGATCTGGCTGCTACTTCCCTACTTCCCCCAGCACCAGATGAAGTGGTTGACTTGCATTTAGGGACCATGTTGTTCAAGAAATACAGGACTGGCTCTATTTTTCTAGCAGAGTGCCTATGACTGGATTGGAGAATCTACATGTGTGTTCAGAGCGGCTCTGCTGTAGTTATATCTGGTTCTGCTGTTCTCCAAAGTGATCGCCTTGTGATTCAAGTGCTTTAGTAGACAGGGGAGTGGGACTGGAATCCCAGGCAAAGGCAGCCCACTCCTGGTGGCTTCTACAGACTGGACACTCTATGAACTAGTGGGTCCTAAACTAGCCTAGTTGGTGGGCCACCTGGAAGATTACTTAGAACTCCTGAGTAACCCCACTCCAGCTTGAAATTGGGACACCAGGTTACCGCACGATATAAAAACCACTAATGTTCAAAAAGACACGACCCCACAGCAAGCAGGCCAGCCAAGTCTCTGCGCTACCCCAAGTCCCCTCATACCTCACTAGCTGTCTGGCCACTTGCCCTGCCGCTGCCTGAGCCTGGCATCTGCCGGAGCCTGCCGCCTGCCGCCTGCCCCAGCTGGCCAGCAGAGCCCAGGGAAGAGGAACCTGTGCTAAAGAAAAAGCCGAGGAGACAAATGTTAACAATTCTGCCCATTGACTTCACTGTTCCTGTCACTGGAGCTGACAGTGGTGGTCAGTGTTCCTAGCCTCTGTCACTGCCTGGTACTAAGTGAAGCTTAACTGCTAATCCATTTGAACAATTTAAAGACCCAACAACACAATGGCCATCAACAGGTGAGTAGACAGAGACTGATAAATTGTGGTACATCTATTCATCAGGACACTAATCAGCATAGAAAAAAATAAGCAACAACATGAATGAATCTCAAAAGCCATTGTGTTTAATAAAAGAAGCTGGACCCCAAAGAGGACAGATTGCACGGTTCCATTTATGTAAGGTTCCAGAACAATCAACTCTCATCTATAGTGTCAGAAAATAGAGCCATGGTTTCTTGCGGTGGCGGTAGGGGAGAATTGACTGCAGGAGAGTACAGGGAGACTTCTGGGGTGACAGCAACATTCTAGGTCTTGATTGGAGTGTTAACTTGAAATGTGCATGTAGTGTATATAGTTTGCACATTACATTTAAATAAAGATAATTGAACACAGTGTATAAGTTATACTTCAACAAAGTTAAATAAAACAGAAATGAAAAAGAATACGGAATCATTATCACTGGATCTTGCCCTAACTCACCGAGTTAACTGTTTGAGAGCCACTGGGGGTGGTTGGGGGTGGTGGTTTCAGCCTCCCCACAACAGGTGTAAACGGGGGCTGTCTTCCCAGGTGCCCCTCCTGGGAGGCCCCCTCACACCCTTTCTTCCTGTCTTGGCATCCTTCCTCACATTATGGGATTAATGTGTCAGGACTGCAGGCTGTGCCCTCAGAACAGTGGAATGAAAAGGGAAGCCAACGGGTCTATGGGGAGACTTTCCCGCAGATGCAGGGCCACCCAGGGCAGAGGCTGACGAGGCAGCTGTGCTTCTCTGGTCTGATTTCAGGATGCGGTTCTCCTGACCCCAGACTATGCTTCCCGCCCCCCGCCCCCGTGACCTGTAATATTTCCATAGGAGCCAAACCTTTCATTCCCTCAGTTAAAATGTGTGCTTTCCTAGGAGAGACTCCATGGCTATTCACTCTGAAGTAAAAATGAGCAATGTTATTCCTGTCCCAGAGCAGGTTTGGGGTTTGGAGGAAATGGTGGAGCAGGAGACAGTGAGACCAAGCAGGACCTGGAAGACTCTGCACAAGAAGTTGTTAAATACGTACTGAAAACACACCATGGAATATTACTCGGCCAGAGAAAAGAATGAAATCTTACCATTTGTGACAGCTTGGATGGACCTAGAGGGTATTATGCTAAGTAATGTAAGTCAGACGGAGAAATACCAATACCATGTAACTTCATTTATATGTGGAACCTAAACACAAAGTAAATGAACAAACAAAATAGAAACAGACCCATAGATACAGAAAACAGACTGATGGTTGTCAGATGGGAGTGAGG